TCACAAGTCATATAAAGGCTACATAGCAGTCTTCATATGCCTTGCAACAAAAGCCATCCACTTAGAACTGGTAGGAGACTTATCAACAGAGTCGTTTATTGCAGCACTTAGACGATTTATGGCCAGAAGAGGTCATGTGCATCACATGTACAGCGACAATGCAACGAACTTCGTGGGAGCAGCCAAATTCCTATACAAAGAAATTCTAGAAATCACTCAATCACCGCAGTTTCAAAATACATTAACTAACATAGGCACACAATGGCACTTCATACCACCAGCAGCGCCACACTTCGGCGGAATATGGGAAGCTGGTGTAAAATCTATGAAGCACCATTTAAGACGAGTAATAGGAGACAGCACCTTAACCTATGAAGAAGTATCGACAGTCCTTCACCAAATTGAAGCATGTCTGAATTCAAGACCATTATGTATTCAAACAGAAAACATTAACGATAACATAGTATTAACGCCAAGTCATTTTCTTATTGGACGTGAAGCAGTGGGCGTACCTCACCCAATAGACAACATAAATACGGACCTCAGAAACCGCTGGAAGCATATACAAAAGATGAAAAAAGACTTTTGGAATAGTTGGACAAAAGAATACTTACACCAATTACAACAGAGATATAAATGGAAGTCAAACGAAGAAAACTTAAAAGTCGGTGCAATTGTTCTAATTAAAGACGAACACATAAACCCGAGTAAATGGCCCTTGGCGAGGATAAAAGAAATTCACCCTGGACATGATGGCGCCACCAGAGTGGTAACCCTCGAACGATCACAAGGGACGGACCAAAAGAGATCAATACATACTTTGATACCATTACCAGTAAACGAAGACACAAACACAGCGGGAAGTAGGCAAACAACAGCGCCTACGCAAGCTAACTTAGCAAGACTGAATACACACAAGAAAACACATAGCCAGTGTGCTATGCAAAAATCGACAGGCAAGCTGCATTATTGGGTTATAACTTTATTACTGACATTGCAACTTTTAACTCCAGCTACGACTACATATACAAACAAAAACTTAAAATCAGGACTATATATAGAGCAAATGGGAAACGCTTCGTTAGACAGAGGAACCTTTAGAATAGAAACAACCTACGAAAGACTCACGTTAAACCACAATTTAGCAATGGCAGAAAAAGTTTTAAACGAATTCAAAACACTATGCGATTACACTTCGAAAACAACAATCAACACACATTGCGATCAGTACTATCACCACCTACAAGAGGAAGAAGAAAAATTTAAAAGGACACATGAATATTTAACGGAAATGACCAGTACAAGAAAGAAAAGAGGGTTGTTAGGATCATTAATGACTTCAATATTCGGCGTAAATGATGAAGTTTACAGAAACTTAGGGTCACTACAAGAGAACCAACAAAAGCTTATAGACGCAGCAAACCATCAGACAAAATTCATGATTACTACAGTATCGACAGTGAACCAAACAGAAGAAAAAATTAAACGAAAATTAGACAGATTCCAAACAAAGCTTAATCAAGCTCTGAGTTATATTAATGACCATGATCGATGGTACAAATCATTTGACGGTAATCACCTACAAATTCAAGTTATGCAATCGTACCAATTGGCATACAACTATATTACAGAAATCAATGATTACTACTCAGGATTAATGGAAATATACATCATGAAAGCGACAGTATACAGTGTGCTTTCTCCAAAAAACATAGCAGATACTATTGCAAATGCAAACAGCAAGATACCGTCAAATCTTCATATCATGCAGACTCAGGTACTTGACACTAGATTAACGGAAAACGATACACATATTACAGTGCTATCGTACTTTCCGATTACAGAAAAAACGAAGTATACCTTTATGCACGTCATTCCCATACCAATGAAAAACCAGGATGGTTCATTCACAGGCATAGATATTTCACAGACATTTATAGCTATAGATTACAACAATGAGAAATACTTTGAATTAACTGACGACGAATACAACAAATGTTTACATAGACTCAACAACTTTATCTGCTTTCCTGCGGCCGTCAAAAACATGCAATTAAATAAAAATTGCATTGTTCGCATGATCATAAAAGATGACAACTCTACGTGCCCTACGAGAACCTACAACATCAAAAACAATATTATCTGGAAACAAGTTCAAATGAAAAACACTTGGATATACCTCACGAAGAAAACAGAGACAGTGTCCATTGTATGCGACGGAGAGAGAGAAGAAAGTTTCATCCATGACATTGGAGTAATACAAATTTCAGAAAATTGTATTATTAAAACCACGGCCACTACATTAGTAGCTAAACGAGTACACACAGTCAATGTCTTAGCGTCCTATAGCAGACCCCTTCTATTTCATCTCGATAATAATTATTCTGTAATTAGATCACATACTGATATTTCAAAAGAACAAGTAGTTTTAGATAGTTCTAAAGATATATTTAAGCATGTAGTAGACGAAGAAATGAACGAACAAACAATCTTAGATAACACTATTTGGACCACTATCAATACACAAACTTATATTATTAGTTTTACAACTTTATTAGTAATTTTATGTATTTGTTTATTAATTTATTGTTTTGCTCCACAAATTGTGGCCAGAATACGTGCTATGGCGGCGTCAAGACGGACAACGGTAGCACCAGCCAGCAGTTCCCACGACGAACTACCTGCAGCGCCACCACGACCGCAGCAGCACACTTACGCGCGGCCGGCTCCTCGGGGGCAGCAGCCGACTCTCTACGAGATGAAGACCTTGAAGACCTACTCTTCTGAGACTCGCCAAAATGTTCACGCGAGGATGTGAACATGCCGACGCAGCAGGGCAGTGACCGCGATGAACCAGAATCAACCTCAATCGTAGTTATGTGTCGCAACAGTGTTGATCTACGCGGTTTCACACAAATGCATTCGTATAAGTAATACACCTATACATGTAAATATATTAATATAAATAGCATGTAAATCTTTAATAAATTCTCTTTCTACGCTTCGAGCAACGCTGTTTCATTCGACGAGACCATCGACTCCTCTCACTGTTACTGCGCCTATAAATAGTTACCGATAGCTCTGGCATCACTCAGCCTTTGTTATTGGTCGGTCCGTGAGGCTGCGGATCGGCAGTGAGAAAATCCCTTCCTATACACCTTTCATCCTTCCCACCGTCCGTCTGTTGCCTTAGGTCTCATGGTAACAGGCATCCCGCACTATATATATATAAGTATATATTGTACCTATATGGTTAGGGCTAGGTTGTTAGGTGCAAATAGGATTGTTGTTAGGTTGTTAGGTGCAAATAGGATTGTTGTTAGGTTGTTAGGTGCAGGTAAGATTGTTGATAGGCTACAGTCAACCCCCTTCACTGTACATTTAGATCCCTGAATGTACATTCGCCATGCCGTTTTACATTTATTATGTGACGTTATAGTTATTTTGTGCTCTTTTTGTTAATGTTACGATTTTTTTAAACAGTTTACAATAACTTTTATATTTATCCTTATTTTGTTCAGTAGGATTAAGCCTGAAATTCCACAGCAGAGCTTTTTTTCTTCTACTACATATCTTCACTCCACGCGATATCCATTTAGGTTTACTGTAGACTTTCATTAAAAATTTCCGTTTAGGAAAGCAAAGGTCATAAATAAGTTTAAAATCATCAATAAAGGTCTGATATGCTATGTTTGGGTCATCAGTGTGGTAAATGTTTGAAAATGACAAGCTCTTTATGTATGACTGAAACTTTTTAACATTATCCAAATTGAAATCATGTTTTTCAATGTACCAATATTGTAACAGTGGTATTTTTTCAATGGGAAGTTCAACTAATTGTGCTGTATGGTCAGAAAGGCCTAGTTCCAGGATTTCAGTCCTACATTTTGTTTTGAAATTATGAGCAAAGTTATCAATACAAGTTTGACTAGCAAGTCTCGTCGGTTTACGTAGTGTTAAATTAAGATTGTAACTAAACAATAAACATTCAAAGTCAAGCGTAACATTATTATTTTTAAGAATGTCAATATTGAAATCACCTGCAATTAAAATATTTTTAAAATTACGATTAGAAATATATGTCAAAAGTTTTTCAAGTCTATTAAAGAAGGTATATAAATTATTTTGATTTGGCACTCTATACACGCAAATAATCACAGTTTTATAGTCAAGTAGTTCCACAGCACTACATTCAAACACACAATCCAAACAAAAATCTTTAATGTCTGTTTGCTCTCTAAAATTATGTCCATTTTTTAATAAAATACATGTACCCCCTCTTTTACTATTACTACGACTGTAAGATGAAGCTAATGTATAGTTTGGCAGATTTAAGAGCTTCTCATGACCAGTCATCATAACCTATCCCTACCTATCGGATTACCGAGGCTCTGGTTAGAAGAACAATAGTAGGAACGGGGTGGTTTTTATTCAGTAAGTCTGACACGCCCTCTCGGTTAATCAAAGGTGGGAGAAGTCTTTGGATGATTTACCCTCTCAAACAAAAAAAAAGGAAGAGGCTTAAACTGTCAAACACCAAGCGGTCACCGGTGACCGCAACCTATTGTTCTTTAATTGTGTCTATAAATACGGTACTCGACGAGTTAAGTAACCAGCGCTTTTCTGAAAACCGCAACAATATCGGTTCAGCTAATCGTGAGATAACCTCGCACAAATATACATACATTCATACAAACTTACAAGTCAAACAGCGAACCTCATTTTTTTGAAGTCAGTTAAAAATGCGATTGTCATCAAGTAAGTAATTTTTAACTCTTTTATTTTTAAAAAGCGTTGCCCCACACTAGGGTTTTCTCCTGTATCATGAGTGCGTTTACAAACATACAAGTACACATACACATGACACCCAGACCCGGAACAACGATTTGTGGATCACACACCGTTGTTCATGTGGGAATCGAACCCGCGACACTTTGCTCGGCAGCCAGCACGCCTACCGTGCATTGATTATATTATAGGTATTATCAAAAAATACTCACGTCATCGTCATCGTCATCTTCACACTTGATATTCATATCATCTTCCAAACAGGCCTCCACCTGATTCAAAGCGGCCGCATCATTGCTATCCATACTCGTTACGTCATCAAAATTTGGGTAATCATACGTAACTATGGACTCGTCTCCCAATACACTTTCTTCCTTTATTTCCTGTTTTTCATCGTATAATTCTGTTTTCTCTTCATACAAGTCAGGTTTTTCTTCAAAAAATTCAATTTTTGGTGCGGTAACGTAGTGTTCCTCATCTTTTTCTTCAAACTCGTTCATCGTTGGTATTATCTCTTCGACATTTTCATTGCTTTCTTTGTCTATGCATATGGGTATTGTTTCTTGTTTAACTTCTAACTGTACGTCGCTGAACGGATTGTCTAAGTGATCTTGTATATCTTCGTCAACATGCATTTCGGATTTGATGTCTAAAGGTAATTCGTCCGGTATTATTTGGTCTGAATCTTCTTCTTCTTTTATTACGGTGTCTGTCTGGAGATCTGTCGTCATCTCGGACGTGGTTTGGAATTCGATGGTCTCCATTTTTCGTTGCTGGAATGAGAATTTATTATGTGTTTAGTATGTTTAAGGTTTAAAAGTATTTGTTAAAAATTACCCCTGGCCCTACCTCTACCGCTGCACCTACTTCTACTCCTATCCCTTTTTTACCCATACCTCTACCCCTTTATATCCCTTCTCGAGTCACAAGCAAACGTACTGAAAGCTGCGGTCTCGAATTTTGTGAGCAGAAGCCGAATAGTAGCTGTTTAAAAGATAGAAAGTCTCATCTTAACGCCGCGCCGTTGTTCCCGTTCCAGGAGGATTTCCAGGGTAAAAACTATTCCATGTCTTTCCTCAGTCTCAAACTATATCCGTACCTAATATCATCCAAATCGCTTCAGTGGTTTAGACGTACAGAAGAGTTACTTTCGTATTTATATAATGTGTCATGTTTCACTCATTACTCGGCTCCTATAGATATTTTATAGCGTAGCGGGTTGTATTATAGCCTATATAACAACTATCGTGAGACATACTAAATTAACTAAAAGTCGCGGGTTACTCACGGGAATATACTGAGAAAAGCTCTACTAGTCGAGCAAATCCACATGACGACATAAATCCTACATTGTATATAAGCAGTTTACATGCGAATAAACATGGATAGATATTCCCAACGGCACCTCGATCACCTCGCCTGGTCGGAGGATCCTTTTCCGATCTTAGGGAACTCTACTCTCCGTTCCCCAAAACTTAATCTCAAGAACTACTGGTCCGATTTGAATTATTCTTTTTGTGTTCAATAGTCCATTTGCCGAGGAAGGCTGTAGGCTATAAAACAATGCTACGATCAATAGGAGCCGAGCAGTGGGTGAAGCCGCATGAGAGTAGCTAGTTAAGTATATATGCAAACTTATTTCTAGTGTAGTGCCAACCACCTTTTAGGGATTCAATTTTTATAGCCCGTAATTTGGTCAGGAACTTTCTCAACAGATTGGCAATTTTTTCATCAAAATCCATTTAACCGGTTTTGCATGATGTGGACACAAATAACAAACAAAAAGTTAAACAGGCAAATATCCTAAAACCTGAATGTTCTATTATTGATTTTAAGTATCCCCAAACAATTTTATATGAATATCTTCTATGTACAGACTTTCGAACCTCTTTAGCTTTATTAGATGTATAAATAAAAGGTAGATTATAAGTCAGTAATACAATTAGTTATTAAAAAATGTGTCGGTAATAATAATTACTAAATTATTCATGGTGTATGAGTCAGAATGTAATTTAACAACATTAGAATTCTTTCTATTCAATGTATGTACCTACTTAATTTAATTATATAATTATTTTTTATAACAGACCCTTGCATGCCAAGTGATGGCAAAATATGGAGAGACTGTAAACTTTGTTAATACTTATGTCTTAGGTACCCATGTATGCAGGTGAATAAATTAATTTGAATTTTGATTCAATAAATATCCATTACTTACTTCCAAGAGTGGCTAGATATGCAACAGCTGAGCACACAGACAAGATAATAAAAATATACCACAAAAGCAGTGTTTAGTAAACAAGATGTCAAGTTTTATGTGGAAATATTACATTTATAAAGTAATGAATTCTTTGTGATTTCTTACTCATGTTCAATGGACTGTAACTATTAATAATATCATATAATATGACCGTCAAGGTCGTTCTTACCTATTAGAATTAGATAGCATCGATTTCAATCAGTTCTGTCTCAAGATTTTCGTATCCATTGTAACTTCGATCAAATAAATAATGTTGTGGAAATATAAATCCTTTTCAAAGCTTCCTTTTTACATTTTCTTGGCCCTCCACACGACCGGAACATTGGTCCATTATCTAAGGACCGATTATTCACCTAAATTATATTACAAGAATCACTAATTAGCCGCCGATTATTCCGAAAAATATGTTTATACGCAGGTCACACAAGTTGCTCGTATGCATTTTAAGATAGATAATAACGTCTGTATTTTATTAATATCATGCACAACACTGTTAATTAATTTAATTACCATATAATTTTAAATTATCTGCAAATTATTAAAAAATCTAAACATACCACTTTGCACTTTAATTTTGACAGATTTATGTTTTCGATTTTTTATCTGTAGTTTTTTATGTGTGGTATAATAATATTAAAAAAGTAATTGAATTTAAATTATACATGAGGCAGTTTAATCAGATAATTGATTATGTTTAATAAACATTAATAAATAAACATTTTCTGCTAACGAAATACGCTTCAAGAATTTTCTTTTTTTGCTCACCAGATGGTAATAATCTATCACAAGAAAATTTGTCCAATCACTGTAGCTGTCAAAAAAACATCGTCCAATGGTGTGATACTAACATGAACGAAGACCAAGAGGATGACACTAGCGCCATAAACTTGTTTTATTTTGTTGAATAAAGTAAGTGTTAATATAATTAATATAAAAATCAATAATACGATGTCATTCAAACTTAACAGATTTGTTATTAAATATTATAAAACTTTTATTTAAATTATTTGAAAAAATCGACTAAAAGAGATTAGAGCATGAATTTATTTTCTACAAAAATGGCGTCAAAACGTCAACCAAAATTGAACGGACCGCTTACTGAATCAGCTCTTGTGTTTATTTCACGGAACGCATCTATAATTTATTTGGTGGTAAATTCTGAATTTTTCGAGTCTTTTTGTAGATATTTGTTTAGAAAATGTGTTCTATATCCTATTTTCTTGTCAGGACATGGTGTGATGGTCGAAAAAAAATATGGCAAATACCTTGGACTTGAAATTGGTGTTGAAACATCTCTCAAATGGAACTCTGAGCGAGAATTTGTGTGTTATATGTCTGAAACCGCTTCGTGACCAATATGAGAATATATTTACAAAAGTATGTAAATTCGACAAGGAATATTGTATTGCTGATGTTCTGCAGACTATGTGTGATATTACAGTAAGTCTATTTAGTTAACTCACGTGTAAAATGCAGAGAAAAGAAAGTTTTTATACATAACATTGCACTTTTAAAGTAAAACCATGTCTTTGCGCTACTTATAAGGTCAGTGTTTGTGTTTTTATATTGAGTGACAACATTATCGCATTGGGTGTACCTTGTTAGCATTTGTTGATTTTAAATAAATGACCAAAAATATAATAAACTTAAAACATTTAATATACCTGCACTTCAAACAGTCTCTTAGTTGTTGATAGCTTATTAATTATTACAGTAGACTCTGCTGTACTAAAAACTATACTAACCAAATAAAAATAATTATTTTCAGCTCTCCGACACAGATACCTACAACATTTGCATCAACTGTTTCATGATGGCGTCCATGGCGTACAAATTCTACCTCCTATCTAAACGCAGCCAGGAAATACTACATTTCTATACGAATGAACTTCTTGAAAACGTAGAACAAATTCAATTGCCAGACGAAATTATCAATAACACACTTTGTATATCCCTTCCTGAAATTTTGACCGCAACACCGGTGTACGATTTCAATCTACACTCTATTGGCAAGGAAATGGAATTAGTAGAGAATCTCACTCAAAAAGAGACAATAAAAACGGTGGAAAAAGATGATAATGATGATGTGGTCGTGATTATTCAGGATAACGGAGAGCCTGCGTTTTACCGATCACAGCCAGATGGTACTCTTACAGAGCTTGAGGGATCTGAAGGGGATAAATATAGGAAAAAGTTTAATGCTTCTTTAACTGTAGATAAGAAGGAAGATCGAATTAAAAAGGGAAGGAAAAGAGGTCCGATGTCCTATAAGCTGTGTACTCGATGCCCGGTGAAGTACCGTTTCATAACTAAACTGAAGCAGCATATGATGATGGATCACAATATCACCCTGTATGTTTGTAAGGTAAAGAGATGACTATAATATAACATAAATGTCTAATATAGACTGCCTCATTGGCCAAGTGGTCCCAATTGTGACTGCCGGGCTTCTATTCCCAGGTCGGGTAAAGTTTACTGGGCTTTTTCAAAAAATCTCAGTAGTAGCAAGGAGTCTGGAATTGTGTCCCAGTATAATTATGGCAATAGACTCACCCCCTATTACATGGGACTCATAACATAAATAGTGAAAAGTGGGTGTTACATTGTACAGTGGCATTAAGTGCCGTAATGTACACCTCTGCCTACCCCTTCGGGGTAAAAGGCGTGATGTTATGTAATGTCTAATATAGTATGAGTACACAACAGATCAATGTATCAGGTCCATGAAACTGTTCAACGTCTTCGCATCATCAGAACTCGGTTTTGTTAATATTCTATGAAATGTTCCCATATTGACCCTGTTCAATTTCAATGCTTTGAACAACTTAGTCCTATCAGCCTGATATTGAACATGTTGCATCTACAAATGATACATATATTCAACAACATCGCAGGTCTCACTATTGGGGGAGTTTTAAATTTAATTTCTTAGAAATTCGTGTAATATACTAAAATGTCGCAAGACCGCCGCAGAGACGAGCAGCCAGTAGCAGCGCGACAGTCGCCGCGTCGCAGGTCATGAATATGAGCCTCTAGCATGGCTTGAAACTAGTCGAGTTCCTCGTCAAACAGTCAAAAGTCAAAGCATTTATTTCAATTAAACCATAGTTTGGTACTTTTGAAACGTCAACAAATACAAAATAAATAATAGTCTGTCAGTCAGTCCGTCAGTGAAACTAGGTGAAGCTAGATGCTCATTCCAAAAAGTAAATTCGAATGGAGAAGAACGAGCAAGAAACTCCATTTTTTACTCTTTTTAAAAAAGTATGTTATAGATAATGTCTCTGATACATATTTCAATACTGTACGCATATGTAAGTTACGTGAGTAAGCCGAAAACATAATAATAAATGTTACAATTTGTTGTGTTTCTAGGTATGTCAAGCATTCACAGAGAATGAGCAAGAGTACCACAATCACATGAAGACCCACACCAATGTGCACCAGTGCGCGGTCTGTAACACTGTGTTCAAGAAGCGCTCCACTATCATCAACCACCTCAAATGGCATGAACGGATGAAAAATATCACTGAGGTAAGTTACTAAAATGGAATCGAAAATAATTTCTAATCTTATTTAGTTTAGTTAGCCAGGTTAATGAGGAATTAGCGATATTATCAATGAATTGGTGATTGTAATGGCACGGGTGTCCATGGGCGGCGCTGATCGCTTACCATCAGGTGATGCGTCTGCTCGTGACCTCCTACTCCATAAAAAAAAAATTCTCAAGTCGACTGTTGAGCAACAGGGTCTTGTGTTCAATTTCCGGTTAGGGCAATCCTTATTGGGATATTTTATTTTTTTAAGGAGGTTTCAATGATACCACTACCTTTTCATTAGGTATGTGATGACTATGAGTTTCATGTTAAAATGGTGACCCTATTTTTTTACTGTAGATCGGATATTGTTCTTGATAATAATTTTCATATCAATCTTAATAACATTTTGAATTGTACTTTCGTACGTGTCTAACTCGCATAGAGTAAGTGTTTTTAAAAAAATAGCCTCGTTTGCCGAGTGGTTTCATGTGCGATTGCCGGGCTTTGGGTTCGATTCCCGGGTCGGGCAAAGTATAACAGGTTTTTTTTAAATCTTAGTTATAGCACGGAGCCTGGAATTGTGCCCGGTATATGACAAAAGACTCACCCTCAATTACATGGGACTCATAACATAAATAGTAAAAAGTAGGTGTCACATTGTACAGTGGCGTTAAGTGCCATAATGTGTACCTACATCTTCGGAGATAAAAGGCGTGATAAAAATTGTATTGTGAACATGATTGAAAAAGAGTAACATATGGGAGTTTCTTGCTCGTTCTTCTCCATAGGAATCTACACTTTGGAACGAGCAAATAGCTTCACTAGAGGACTGACCTACAGACTGACATTTTTTTCTTATTATTTAATATTTTGTTTTGATGTTCAAGAGTGCCTTCCTGGTCTAATTGAAATAAATTATTTTGACTTCGACTTTGACTTTGACTCTGTGATGTTATGTTATGTTTTAAAACAATATTAACACCAAATTCACTATTCCAGAATGCTTTGCAGACGGAAAACGCGCACATATGTGAGAAATGTGGGAAGATAATGTGTGACGAGGAGAGTCTGAGACAGCACTATGACAGCGTGCATTACAAGAAGTTTACCTGCTATTACTGCGGCAGGATGTACAAGGGAGAAATGAGCTTCAATGGCCACATCAGGAAACATGAACAGAACATGGAAATTGGGAGTTTTAAGTACGTATTTGCACAACTTGATTCCCCCTACTCCTTTCCATCATCGTACCACAAGACAATCGGCGAAGCGTCACCGATTCATGGTAGATGATCCGCCCACACGCACTAAGCGCTTCGCTTCAAGCTTCCTTGTGCGTACTGCTAAAGAGTGGAATTCTTTGCCAGAGTTTGTATTTCCTGAAGGGTATAACCTGGGAGTCTTCAAGGCCCGAGTGAATAGGTTGCTTATGGGATGACGTGCTCCATCGTAGTTCGCATCATCGCTTACCACCAGGCGAGATAGTGGTCAAACGTCGCACCATCAAATATTAAAAAAAAAATTACAATAGCGTAGCTTTCTGCGTTGCACAGCAAAACTGTAGAATGATCTGTCGTCGGCGGTATTTCCGAACCGATACGACCTTCAAACCTTCTAGAAAAGACCGTATTGCTTTTTAAGAGGCCGGCAACGCACCTATGACTCCTCTGGTGTTGTGGGAGTTCATGGGCGGCGCTGATCGCTTACCATCAGATGATCCGTCTGCTCGTTTGCCTCCTATTCCATAAAATATGTATAATAGGACTATTTTTCTTTATTGCTCTTACATAGGTACCTAGTATGTTATTAAAAATTTTAACCGACTTTAAAAAAGGAGGTTCTCCATTTGACCTGTATCTATGTATGTATGTATGTTTGTTTGTGCGCGATTATCTCGCGCTTGGCTTATCCGATTTTGATACGGTTTTCAGAAAAGTGTTTGTTACACTTAGAAGAAGGTTTTAGTATATTAATTAACCGACATAAAAATTACGGGTTTTCTTTACTGCTCTTAGTGCCTATAGTATCCGATACGGAGCC